TAACAATCTTGGTAATGTGCCATTTCAGTATTTCATATTGCTGCATTGATGTGATATCCGCAGAATCTATATGTGTGATTGTAAGTCGGGTTTGGCTTTCCACTCTCCTCTATTACGCCTGTCATTGAGCATTTAAACTCTATCCATATGAGACTGTGTTTGCAGATCCCCCTAGTGGCTAATCTGGGCAATGCTCTCTAGAAAAAACACAAGCTGCTATTTAACGTGTGCTTTTAAATCTGATCTATTAATCACCTTTATCACACTTTAAAAAAGAATGATTAATATAAACAAACTGTTATGTTTATGAATGCGATTAAATAACATGAAATATTACCCTTGTTCTGCTTTGACCTAACATTGTCCCTCCAATAAAACAACCAGTGACGTAATCTAATTTTGTGCATTTTTTTCACCGCTATATGTCAAGTTTATGTTATTGCGTTTAATTTTGTTACCCATGAGGGATTTCAGTAATAAAGCAGACAGAGACCCATTATTGTCAGATTTCCAGTCACAGCTTTTCATCATTTGCGTTATTGTCCATAGATTCTGAGTTTTGGCCAAATTTATGTGGTGTTGTAGCACTGTGTTGCATTATTTGTCTAAAGTGTCAAGGCAGAGACCCTGAGATGCATTGTGTGGTTGTGTCATGGGCTTTGATGAGAATTTCACTTGAATCTGTCTTGAGACAAAGGATCCTTCAGGGATTCAGAGTTAGACCGTACACACATACATCTAAACAAAAAAAAGCACAACACAGCGTCTGCAAGACACAGGAGAAACAGGTAAAAGTCCTCGTGCTGCAGGAGTGAAGGCCTTGTGCCTTTTAAACAGTACTGCTAATGGAACTCAACCTGGCATCTGTCACAACAGGGAGAAGCCAAGTTTGGAAATGGCAACAATGTAGAAGTCATGTGGAGTTGCTTGGAGAGGTAGCAGTGTCCCCCTGGCATGGTTAACTAGCAGAGGTATCAGATCAGGCAACGTGCCATATCCACACGTTACAGTAGGTGACAAGGAAAGGGAAGAAAGTTTACTGGTGATATAGGGGAAGTATCATTTAGATGGCTAAAAGGTTGCACTAAGGGACGTCTGGAAAGTTTGATTAGATAAACGAAGAAGGTTAATTCTTGGCAGGGTCTCCTGGTCATGTGGTCGCTCTTTCTGGTCCCCATGACATTCCAGGGCTGCTTTGAGTCCTTGCCTGTGTTAGATAGAAAATTTAAATAAAAAATTATATCAAATGCTGCATTCAGCTTTATTTAAATGTTATGAACTCTTAACCTCATTATCATAACTAACTGAAAAATAGAAAATGTTATAGGCACATTTCAGCATTTCAGCAGTGTTCAGCAGTGTTCAGCAGTGTTCAGCAGTGCTCTTAAAATGACTGTCATTAAGTTTCAGATTAAGATCACAACCACCACCGATGCCCCTGCCTAAAACCGTCTTGCGAAAACGTAGTTAATGTATTATTTTTGTTTGTTACTTTATTAATTATAAAATTAAGTATGAATTATGCATTCTGTATGGTTCAGCCATTTCAGTGCTGGCTCTCCAGACATAGAGAAATTTGCCTTAATATATCTGCCTTAATATATCTCCAAATATATATATAATTTTTAGTCATAAGATAACCAGGAATGTACTGTACCACCCATGGGGTGTCCTTGTCGAGTAACAGCAAAAGACACATGAATGAGATGGAAAGATAGATAGATAGACAGACAGACAGACAGATAGATAGATCGATAGATAGATAGATAGATAGATAGATAGATAGATAGGATTAATGCTGCCATTTTTGTTTCTGCAGCATACTTTAACACTTTTATGGACCAGCTTTTGACAGTTAAAATGAATGGATAATACTGATGAATAAGTGAAGAAAGAATAAGCATGTATCTGTCTATGTTTTTAAATGACAAAATGAGCAATTGACTTGGATGACTGACTTTAGTCATTGTAGGCTATAAATAAGACACGAAGGAAACGTAACAGGTAGGTAAACAAAAAGATAAGAGCTTGCGGTTTGTTTCTGTTTAATCATGCAAGCACAACATGTTTACATTACAGCTGAGCCCCTCATCCAAAGCAGCATATAAGTGAGGAAGCTTGGTATCTTGGAACATGGTCAGTGAGCGTCCAGTGCCCCTGCTGCAGTTGGGGTTAGCAGTTGAGACATTCACACACTGCGTGATCAGTGCAGTAATATGACACTAAGTTCTGGAATTAAAAAAACGTCATTTGGTCTCTATATCAACTGTGTAGCTGTAGGACATTGCATAATATCTAAAAAGTTGTACAAATATTTAGACTGGCATTTTGTGTAGTACTTTTTTCCAAAGCATGTGGTTGCAATGACCAGCATGGTGGCTCAGTGATTCACAATGGTGCTTCACAACTCTGGGACTGGGGATTTAAATCCCGCCCCTACGCCCATAAGTACAGTAGGGAGTTTGCATATTTCTCCCATACTGCTCAGGTTTCTTCTGGGCACTCTGGTATCCTTCGGCAAGCCAAAGACGCACTCAGGTGATATAGAATGTTGGAATTGCCCCTTGTGTGTGTCTTGCTATGGACTAGCCTCCCATTCTATGTGCACCTGTACCTTACACCCTGTGCTGCACAGGATAGGCTCTAACTCCCTCATGACCCTGTACTGCAGTGTTCCCCTGTCCGGTCCTCAGGGACCCATAGCTGGTCCACATTTTCGCTCCCTTCCAGTTCCTGGGGAGGTGGGAGGGAGCAAAAACATGAACTGTCTGTGGGCCCCCGAGGACTGGATTGGGAAACACTGCTGTACGTAAGGCAATGAAATATGAATAGATATTGCTGTATAGAGCAATGACTCTTTATTAAATGTGTACCTGCTTCAAGGATGTACCGGTAATATTCGTGCACTCCAAGGCCTCCTCTGCACCTTACTGGAATGGTGAACATTTTCGTCTTTCTAGTGATTTTAATATAAAAAGATTGTACAGTATTTCTTGAGTAACTTAAAATATGCCACAAGATGTACAAGGGAGTATTTGTACATAGCCATAAAGCAGGGTTCCTTATAATCTGAATGAAAACAGATCCACTTAAAGTGTGGGGGGAAACTACTGCATGCATTGATCTTGTAGAAAAACAAGTAAGATTTCTTGGTGATATTGTTCTGTTTTTCGCCCTTGGCTCAATAGAAACATTTTAGGCATTGTGAGATGTGTAGGATGTGAAATCTGATTACCCATTTTCATATCCATACAGTTTATTAACCCATCCTCTTATTATAAAGTAAAATTCTCCTGCCACTCATAACCAATGTTTTGTTGATGGAAAAGCTTGCCGTTCTTAGCATAAAGGCACTAATGGAGATATGGATAATTTTTTATTCATCTGGGTTTCTTCTGCTTACAGATATTTGTATTTAGGAAAAGCACAATGGGTTTAATTAGCACAAAGGAGTGAGGAGATAAATTAAATCTTTAATTTTAATTATGTGGTGTTCACACAAATCCAAAGTATTGCATGACAGCAAAATGATCTCTGATTCTTTGGTTTAAGGCAATACTGAAAGGGAAGATCGAGTCTTCAGCTTGTGCCAAAAATACCCCTTTCCATGCAGTAAATTGTGTACTTTTGGATTCTCCAGTGAATATCCATTAATGCAAATCTGGTGTAATGTGATGCACAAATGACAACATTATAAGCAAAAGCATGTAATTCCTGCCATCAACACAGCTATGCAAAGCTAATAAGCTAACGGCTCAGCTGGAGTGACAGACAGTATGTAGCCATGTCAAACCACAATATAGCAATTAATTAATGAAAGTAATCATCTGACGTCCAAGACTGCAAATTCTGATGTAGAATATATGTATGGTTTGTTCAAAGAATGATCAATCAATCTAAATCAAGACGCTTTTATGTGGCAAGATTGAACGGGGATGGGGTGGCGGGGGGCTTGCGACTATAAAGACAAATTTGCTCAGTACTTAGTGAATGGAGAGTTATCAAAAATACACATTGTATAGCATGTAGATACGCTACATTTTACATTCATGCTTGTGATTTTTTTTTTTTGTCTTTTCCCTCTTATTTTAATTAGCACCTAAGTCACTTAGCCATGGAAGAACAGAATGCCTTATGATTAGTCGTATTCATAACATATTCTATTTAAGATATTGTGCATCATACACTGTTTTGCACTGTAAGTTATGCTTTCAAGCTTTAATTCAGAAGATGGTTTATTTCCGGTCTCTTCCAGGTATAATATAACATGCAGATCTGAGACTGTGCTGTTGCTTAATGACAGTTACAGTATGGAGTTGTACATGATTTGTTGATCTAGAAACATTTTATACAAGATTTCACACAAAATTCAGCACTTTACAAACCTTCAGCTTATGGCAGCTAATTTTGATTTTCACTTTCACAAATCAGAAATCATAAAAATTATTTTCTCTTTCCCTTAGTTTGCCACAACCCCCTTAGTCATTATTTTCAGTTTTATCATGCTTTTAAAACCACAACATGTCATTAGAAAGAGTATACATTTTTATTTTTAAAATACATGACATAGCCTCAATTTATTGGTAGCTTCTAGTACGGTGTACGTAAATGATTTCGAGTCTTTAGGTTTGTAATTTGACATCTGACATTACAAGAATAGGATGGTTTGCGTTGCTCATTGAAAAAATGATATAAGTGATATGAGTGTGTGTATGTGTGTTTGTATATATCAAGCGCAAAAACAAACAAAAAACGGGAAAAGGGCTTTGAGGAATAACAGTAAACAAGAAGACATGGATTGTGGGATACTGCACACAGGTAAGCGCATGTATTAGAGGTTTAATGACTGAACAAAAAGCTTGAGAGAAATTGGCCCACAGGTTGCAGGTGCCAGAAGCGTTCTCCGCTGTGCCCTATTTTTGTGTATCGTTCATAACTTGCAGTCCTCGGGAAGTCATTTTTATTCACGATGACTCATTTGTGTATTTTATCGTTTACAGGAATACCAAATCGACATCATTTTTGCCCAGACATGGACTGATAGCCGCCTTAGATACAACAGTACGATGAAAATATTGACTTTGAACAGCAACATGGTTGGGCTAATCTGGCTGCCTGACACCATATTCAGGAATTCCAAAAACGCAGACGCTCATTGGATTACAACACCCAATCAGCTGCTCAGGATATGGAATGATGGGAAGATACTGTACACACTAAGGTAAATACAGCAGTCTTTCTTTTATAAAGAGCCACACACACACACACACACACACACACACCCCGCATCTTGGGTCAGCTAGATCCCTAAAGCTAAAGGTGAGTTTTCACTCCTCCCTTATATAATCATAATGACTGTGACACAGTTGCCCATGTCACGGCTATTATTTTCTCCTGGTCAGTTTCGATTACTTATGAGGTACAAAATGGTTCCTGTTAAGTTCCCCTATTTGCAATTTTGTGTAATTATCTTTAGCCAGAAAAAGGCTGATTATAGTTTGCAAGATAAATGCGGCAGATTGAATGTAACAGATGGTTTACAGACAAAGGTGACAGCAGTGAATATCTGTATTTGTTTTGTTCTAGTGTTGATCCTTTTCACACTGCATTCAGATTTCATTGAAATAATTGCATTTAAATGTTAATGGGATAATTAGCTGGCTTATTACCTTTTTTAAATACAAAGTGGTTCGTAGCTTTTCCGAGAATGCCAAGTTTGATTTCCGACTAATTATTTAGAGTAGAACAAAAACATATTTACTAATAAACCTAATAATTGTGGATTTTTAAAGTAAGAATAAACAAGAAATTATGTAAAAGGGTTTTATATATTTTGGTTGTCCTCCTCCAAAAAGAAAAACAATCATATTTTTATTGTTAGATAAAAATGTTAACTAAATCATTGAACCCTAAGACGAACCCACATTAATTTGCAAACACAGACACATCCCAAAGCACAGTCATTAATCACTTTCCAAACAATGAACATGATTAAGTATATTAAGGTTTGATTGCGATAGATTAAATTAAATTGGTGAAAACACTCTATGTTATAACAGCGACTACTATTGAAAAGAATGTATTCCTGGAATATAAATATTTGTGAATACATATCCATCTAATTTTGTGAACAGAAGTCCATCAGATTTTTAGAATTAGCTTTAAACATTTTTTCCTTAATGGTCTTAAGCATAATAGTCCTAAAACTTTAATGACTTTTATATATGTAAGGGAAGACATTGACCTTATCTTGGCGCAGCATGTTCGTCTGTCTCCAGTGCATTATGGAGTATTTCCACAGCGATTCTATGATTGATGCAAATCAGTAAGTTGGGTTAACGAGACCAAAACCTGGACAGAGCCATAATTGGAAATCAACATTCATGGCCACTGGAAAATTTGTATTGGCAATATCAGACAATTCATGGATAGGGACACCTAAATGTCACTTTCCATTTTAATTCTTCCCCCTCTCTCCCAGTAAAGCCAAAGTAAACTTGGGTGGCATTTTGTGTTGCCTCCTGAGAGCTTGTTGGCCATCAAACCGTCACTATCTTATGGCCCACATCCACATTGACAGTGCCAGTCAATTCTTTTCCCACATCCCCTTATTGCACTAACGCTATCAAAGGAAATGTGACCATTTATCACTGCGCAGAAGATACTGTACAAGCACCCCAGCAATATGTGCAGTTCAGCAAAAAAAAATTCTTACATTAAACTGCTCAGTACAAAGTGTGTGAATTATCTTCAATAACCAGGTCATGATTTCTGTTAAGAGACATTGCTGTTGAATTTTTCAAATGTATTTTTCTGTTGCTTCAATCACCACAGAAAGAATACCATTCACTCCCATTATATTCCAGAGAAGCCTGACATTTCTACGGCCAATATCTCCACAATTAGGCAACTCACTAAAGCCAATCTAAAACATCCTTTTACAGTTTTGGACCCTTTAAATATTAAAAGCAATATGGAAATGATTTAATTTATGCTGGAGGATGCGCACAGGTTATAGGCAAATATGACATCATTTTACATAAGAGACTTAAGCATCCGTGGATTTTGGTATTCAGGAGTGTTACGGTGGGGCATGGTGAAGAATGATGGGGCGATCCACGTATTGGCAAGCAAGGGACTTTAATTTAATCTCAAAAATAAATAAATAAACAAGCAATAAGAACCACGAGGGGTTAAAAACAAAGCAGGTAGACAACAACAATTAGGGTAGAGAGCAACACAGAAACAAAGAGGCAAACGAAGGGCAATAACAGCTATAAACACGGATGATGAGGGTGAAATGAGGAACAGGTGTGAGCCAATTACAATAAAACAAACAGGACAGACTAGGGGCAACAAGGAACAAATGTGGGTCAATTCACAAATCACTTCAGCGTCAGACACTAGGAAAGGGGTGACCAGCAACACCTTCTGACCAGGCAGGGAAACAACAGGGCAGGGTCCTGACAACAGGAAGTTCTGGATCCAACCCCCCACGTGGATATGGAACGATGACTGTACTAAATTTCAGCATTGTTTTGTGTTTATTTATATAAAATATAGGAGGAAGGTAGAACGGGCCCTGGAGGTTAGGGTTAGGATAGGGTTAGGGTTAGGATAGGGTTAGGGTTAGGATAGCAGAGGCAGGGAGCCTGGTTCAGCTCCTATGTCACTGGCGGTGAAGACGGTGTCCCCTCTAGGTGGGCGTCCTGCAGGCTGCCAGTTATCACACACAAGCAGCTTGCTCACTATTCACTCTCTCTCTGTCTTTTCCTGCTCATGAAGTACTAACTTGCTCTGACTGCCAGCCATGTCTTGTTTGGCACTGGGGATTGTGCGATCGCTATCTGAGAGCATGATGCTGATCATTGTTCACTGGGACTTAGTAAACCCTTTAACCTACTGTACATGGGAGGCTTAATTATTTCCTTGAGAATATGATGCTGCAGTCATACTTTAAAATTAAACATTTAATTAATTACTTTTAACATATAAAATCTTTCCCCATCAACTGGGCAGACAGTGATTCTGTTACATACTGTACACATAACTTATGCAGCATAAAATATTTAACTTTGCTTGATGAATATTTCTAGAAATTTTCATTGTTATTTTCAGAACAATCCATTTGTTTCCTTTTTCTTCATTTGAGTTTTGCATGTGACTTTAACGAAAGGCTTTAACGTTCAAAGTCAGTCACTGGTTCACTGTGTTTTCCAGGCTGACCATCAATGCTGAGTGCCAGCTGCAGCTCCACAACTTCCCCATGGACGAGCACTCCTGCCCTCTCATCTTCTCCAGCTGTGAGTCCTGGCGAGGGGCAGGGAAACAAACTCTCAGTTACCATTCAGCTTCATCTTGCCTGCATCGTTTCACTGGAGTACTGTTGGTTCTCATTCTCATAACCTGCCCAAAAGGAACTCTGCCAGATTACACTGACCATGGCTGTAGAGCTCAGTTGTTTACAGCAGATCGCCACTGGTTTGTGAGGTTTTTCCAGCTCAGCGGAACTGACAACGCTGACAGTTTCTCAGAGGAATATTCTTCCCACAATTATTGTCTAGACAGATCAACAACAGATTTTTGGCTGTGCAGTCTTCAGTTTGTCGGCTCTGACACACTTTATCCTTTCACACAAGACTAAGGTAATATGTTTTAAGTCGAGATTTATAAATCGAGCTAAAGGCTTTAACACCAACAGTTATTTAATTTATCTGCGGGCTTGCAAGGTCACTTGCATTCTGTGATCTTAGTGTATGATGTGAATTGTACACATTACTCAGTTTGTTAGACCTTTGAGTGTCGTATATGTAAATAACAGAACTTTGAAGTCAATCTTACACCTAACAGGTTACCTGTGAATAAGCTTGCGTGGGTTATACGCTCATATATTCTGCACCAAGTATCAGTTCTACCCCCCCCTGCATTTTCAGCATGCTGTATGGTTTTCATAGTGTGATCCCCGGTAACAGAGCATTACAGTAGTCTGACCTAAGCATGTATTGGCTTCTCAGTTTCTTAAATAGTGAGACACTGTTTTTCTTATTGTATTACCTAGCAGGAGAATGTACAGTGTGTCAGTTCTGTTACACGCTGATTATAACCTACAGAATCAAAGAGCAGTAAGAAATTTCAGTGAAGGCATCTCTCTCTATGTCGATACGTATATTAAAATCACCAGGCATTATAATTTTCTCTAAACTAATAAAGTCAGTGTGCACAATGCATATATTGTAAGAATATATGTATAGGTTGCTCAGATTTTAAGTAGCATTGTTTCACATATAATAAAGCCCGTTACAATTTTTGATTACATTTTTATGGATGCATAAAGAAAGGTACCTCCACACCCAAAAGATTGAGGGTTTTGTAATAAATTGAAGCTCCAGCTAAACAATTGGTGTCTGTGGGTCTAAGCCACGCTTCTGTTAACATTCACAGGCCTGAACAAGTGTTGAGCACCATGTAGTTAACGTTCAATAATCAGCATTTAATGGTAGCTTCACTTTGTAACCAATTTAATTGCATCAGTGGAATTGAAATTAAATTATCAGCACATGAATTTCCTGTATGAATGTCTAGTAATGGTTGTTAAAATCTACTTTTATTTACTCAACTCTACTTTGGAATACTTGTGTGATTTAGGGGATGTTATGATGTAGAGAGCCTCTGTGTCAGAAATGCGCTAAAGGTGGAAGATAAGCAGCCTTCGATTTATGATCACAAGGCCAAGGCATGAGTGGTTCCCATAATAATCGGGCAGGCAATTTTGGATGATTTCAGATAGCATAAATTATCCCGTGCAGCTAGGATGGAGACCGCTCCGACCATTGCCAAAAAAGGTCCCAATTATTAATAAATGCTATGCTTCCAGATGCATACCAAGTCTCCAAGTACCCAGCAGTTTAGAGAGAGTTGTGTAATATAGGTTCATCCCCTCTGTAAAGGATTAGTAAGGGACCAGAAATAATTGTATTATGACATTTTAATTTTACTTTTGTGCACATAGTAATTAAGTTCCTCTTTGATACCTCTGGTTTTTGGGACTTTATATCATTAGTACCAGCATGACCACAGGGTGGCAATTTGTAGTAACTTAAGCTTTGCAGTTGTTAGGAATTCTTGTGCTCCCATCGAGTCTCCAAACGTGAGCGCCTTATCTGCTTCAACAGACGCACTGCTGAGAGCAGATAACCTATTTCTGTGCTGAATTAGGGGCTGGTGTAGAGGAGGTCTAGTCTTTGAGCTCTTGGGTTCCTGTCTGACCGTGACCCATGAGTCACATGAGCTTGTTGCTGGTGTCGGCGCTGAACTGGAGACAGTTGGAGCAGGAAGGGACTCCTGCCAAATTCTGAGTTGGCTGAGTTCTCTGATTGAGCCGTATCTATAAATCCCTCGATCTGTTTAATCTTGAACAAAATGCTAATGTGCCCCTCCAATGTGCGATTTCTGTCCTCCAACTGTACTATAACGCTACAACTTTGGCATGTAAAATTGGCATGCTATCAGACCACATATCTGGTATTGTAAAATGTTTCTCAAGTTGCACCACCTGTTTGCATTTGAGGATGGTACTACTCTATGCAGATTTTTTTGAAATACAGAAAACAGGAAATGTTGTATATTACCTGTACATATAATTGGTAATGAGCTACAGGTGAATGAATAAGTCACCTTTCCCAGAAATGACCACCTCCCCATGGTGTGATTTCTTCATGTTTTGTTTAAAACATACTCTCAATTATTTTGATATTCCTTACATTGACATGGTACATTAGTCTGATTGCAAATAAAATATCTGTAAGATGATAATTTATATCCAGGCACTATTTCTCTGAGGAAAGAATCCATGCATGTCAATTTATCTGTACCAGTAAGGCTAAAACGGATGTTTTCATAACATACCACTGGGTGCCTCTGACTGGATAATTACACTGGGAATGAGCCAATGCTGTAATACTTTATACTTGTAATAGGGATGTTGGAACTGAGGATTAGTCCAATTAGAAATCCAAATATTCTTGGGGAAAAACCTGTGTTGTGATCTGCTCCTTTAGCTATTCTCAGACAGAAGACTTTTCTAATCACTTTCTTTCAAGACTTGTGGTGACATTTACATTGAAAAGGCAGGGACTGTCATTATCTAGAACAGTTAAGAGTCATGCTGAAGGCTGAATTGTGAAATCACTCTCCAGACCACGGGATTTGAACTCATAACCTTCTGATCGCGGGTCCTGACTCGCATGGCCACACTCCCCCGGCAGTTAGGTAACAGCTGACAAGCAGGCACTGAACTGGCTGTCATCTGACGAGTTATAGAGCGTCTGTCCAGTTCACTGAACTGCTGGTAACAAAGACCACGAAGCTTTGAGCAAACAGGGTTTTTTATACTTGGACATTTATAACTATTAAAGGGCAAACTCTCCAGCTCAGAGATGTATCACAGATGGAAACCTGAAACAGGGAACATCATGTTTGTGTTGGTCTTGGATCTCCTTCTTATGCTCAGGTCTGAATTGCTTTCTGAAAAGATGCTTTCTGTGATCTCTCAAGGCAGTTGGCTACTTGGGAAAACAGTATCACCATAAAAGCCCTTTTTTATTAAATGTGTAATTGGAAAGAAATTGAATTTGTTTCTATCCTGCATAGTATCTGATATTATAAGGACTTTTGCACCTGAACAGGGTTGTTTTCAGAGAAAAAAAAAAGATTTGCAGATGTTCCAAGTTCATTAGTAATACATTAACCTTGAGATTTATTGCAGTAATAAAAAAAGGACTTGGAAATGTTTTAATTTACACCTTAGAGGGGAAATGGCAAAGGAGTTTGTCACATGTAGCCCTTAGTTATCAGGAGCACAAGGGACATTAGCAGGTTTGTTTTGACCTCAGCAGGTCTCATCCATTAAACAAAAGGTGTCCTGCTACTATGGTTTATGATTCTGGGGGAGGATGAGAAAATATAATTTCCCTGATAGTGAATTATAGACAAGAGAGGTTGTAAGGGACACTATTCAACTTTCTCAGAATGATATGATATTTTTTTTATGTTAACCTGTATAATCCTAATTTGTAAAAGTGAAATTTGAATTAGTGAAACAGAAAATATGACAATTGAATAATATTGACAATTGAAATATTTGAGTGAACAGTCTGTTTTACACTATATAGGATTCTTATGTTAATTGTGAGGAGTATGCACAAATAACTCACTCTTAAAGAAGAGGAGATTTACTAACAAAAAAAACTTTTCAAGTTCATCATAAAACAGCCACCCTTCTGATTAATCTGATTTTCAGCAATTTTACTGAAAGCAAGAGCATAAATCAAGCTGGGAATTCCATTCATCCATCTTCCAAACCACTTAAGGTGGTCAGGAACACAGTGAGGGCTGCAGAAATAGGCACGAGGCTGGGGTACAGTCTGACAGCTAACAACTAAAAGGAAACAGCAGTTATTAAGAGTCAGATGAACATCAGTCGACATCTGCATGATCAGTCGATGTTATCCAGCTGCAAAAAGCCCTACTTTCTTTCAGTGGCATTTGCAAGACATTCGATTCCAGAGAAGATGGAATTCATGGAAAGAATCAAGTCCTTAGTACAGCTTTGGAGGGTGTTCTGTAGTCAGAAACTTCAGCTGTTACACACACAGTACTCCTGTGCTCTACTGTAAATGATGTCCACTGTGTCCATTGACTATAATTATCGTCTGGATCTGAATGCCTGTTTACCAAGGTTACCGTTCATGTTATAGTTAGTATAGAGGAAACGTGCTGACAGAAAATTGTTTTTCTACAACATCCGCCCACCACTGCCCGATTTCCACACCTTTAGGTCTCCTGGAAAATTAATGAAGGCAGTGGGGCATAGAGAGAAGCACATTGATTATGCGCCGATGCGTCCTTCGTGCTTTTCTGGAACGTCGCAGTGCTACATCACGGCCACTCCTGCTTTTTGAGTGAGGTGGTTCAGAATCTACATTCTAAACATTGTCATACTGTGTTAAAGACTGATGCCCTTCAGTAGCTAATGGAGTGCCAGAGAAGTGATGGACTAGTGGTCGCTGCATGCCAGGGGGCACAGTCGTCTACTTATTTACTTTGCGCTACATGATACATATATATATTTATTCTGAATAGTGGTATTACCTGAATGCAGTATACAAGGAAACTTCACCCAACATTGAGGTATTTCAGCATAACACAGCAAATTAGTGAGACATGACAGCGAAGGGCAGGAATGAGCTGGACGGTATGAGACGCATTTCCACTACAAAGCAATTACTTCTGTGTCTAAAGCATTAGTGTTTGCATTAATTTATGCACACATTTGCAAATGTCACTGGAAAGGTACCTAATCCTGACCTGTTTACATAATCAAAATCTCATAATCAGCTTTTGCATTGTGGCCAGATATTTACATTTATTATTGCATCCTTAGAGCAGAGTCACAAAGTGACACCTGTAAGCAGAGAACTCAATCTGGTTGCCGTTCCTCAATTACGATCTCCATAGAAACCGGCGGCGTCGCTGCAAAATCCAATGCTGATTGAAACATTGTATAAATATGTGTGAGACGATGACTTCATTTATTATCAAGTCTGAAATGCTATTACTCAAATACCGAAAATGTCAAGGATCAAATTTATTAGCGTACTACTTCCATTTTACTTTAGCCTTTCACACATTGAACCTAATACTTTTTACTGTGTCCAGGGAAGACATGGGCAATAAGCCGTGAATGGGTCATGCATTTTAAAAGAAATGAAAAAATGATCAGTGATTCATTACTGTGGCATGCTGGGTAGCAGTTCAATACAAAAGACTTGACAAAAACAAATACAGTATATTAAACAGTGAAACAGTTAAGAAATGCCATCTGGATGTATATTTCATGAAGAGCTTAGAGGGCATCTTAATAGATCTGTCACTGATACTATGAGTTCCGTTATATCTCTCCTGAGCCTGAATCAGACTTTTGGGGAACAATTGTGATATGCTAGTAGCTATTTGCTTTTCTTTGTCACTTTTTTACAGTGTATTACTAAACTACTCTATCACTGTGTGATGAGTATGTATGAATGATTCCAAATTCAGTTGCAGTAACGAGGTCCCCTGGGTTATGGACGACCAGCTGTGTATATATTCTCCCTTTGGTCATACGGGTTTCTTCTGGGCATTTTGGTTTCCGCTCATAACTCAAATAATTTGTGAATATTTGTGTCAGTAAGTACTGTAACTTTCTGTGTGTGTGTGTCCTGTGATGAACTGGGATCCCATCCAGGGTGTCTCTCTTGGGCTCTGTGGTTCATGGCTAAGCTCCAGGCAAACTTAGGCCCTACACTGGATAATTGGTAAGGAAACTAGATAAAAAAAATATGTAGGAGGACATCTTTGAAGTTTAAATTGCCATTATATCCACCCACAACCCAATGCACACCAAGATACACATAAAAGGGTTATTAACATTGAGTGTTTGCTGTCTTGCGGTAGAAGCTGGTGTTAGTACACTGGTCACAGCAATCATGCCCCCAAAAAAGAGGTGATGTTCAGTTTTATTAATCCTGTCACATATTGTTATTTAGGAGAAACATGTGGAGAAAATGCAGAGGTATAAATAACACAGATAACGGGGAATTATTTTTCTTATGAAACAGTAGGCTCTCATAATCCGTGGATCTGCATCATCACCAAATAATATATAAAGAAACACTCTTGAGACTTATACTGCAATGCTTTTCATAATTCATAATGGTTTGGTTAGACAGTACAGTATTCGCCGGTGTTATTACTGTGATAAATCAACTGGCAGTCGTATCCTTCTCAAGGTTGGTTTTTTTTTCTGCATACATATAATTTGCTTCTTTTTAGGTAACCAAGCAGGAATGTATTAAGCAGCAACTTAGAAAGTGAGTGTTTGAGACAGAGCAAAGAAGACATCACTGGTATCGGACAAACAGCCTTTCAGCTGAAGTGCCCTTTTGGCCCATTTAGTAAATTATTTATTGACAGACAGAAGGGCCAGTATTCAGCTTAATTATATTTACAGCATGGGGATGCCCCAATAAAAGTGAAAGCTTTCTAAAAATAAAAGAGCCATTGTCATCACTTCTGCAATTCCTTTTGCCACAATCTAAATTTGCTGTCAAGTACGGAAGGGGTATGTGAAGGAAGAATGAACGGTGTGATAAAATGTCACAAAATAACATAGGATATACAGCCTGGTCAGCAGCTGGGATGAATGTGGACTTTCTGTTGAGTTCATCATAAAGGCCGACACATAGGGTCTACTTATATATTTACCTCCTAAATGTCGTTGTTTCATATGAACATGTGGTTTAATAAACAAATGAGTTATTTTTAGTAAAAATTGATTTTGTGCAGAATCTTTATATGATATGCTGAAAATTTTAAACCTGGAGGTAAAGAAAAGTCAATCAAAACCATTTAGTTTTGCATTGACATGCATGTTACTTAGCATTTTTTTTTTAATTGAAATGCATACTACCTGATAAAACTCTGTTATACCTACATTACTAGTACATTGGAAAGTCAGATACTATGTTGCGGATCCAAGGTGATTATTTATGATGAAGATTTATGAAATCCTATTGTAAGAACATGGATTGAGATATTGCAATACTGAGACAAAAGTACCCCTGGAGGTCGACCACAGCATGAAGATGGATTAAACACAACACTTGCTTCCTTGATTTCCACCCCCTCAGTTTCAAATTAGCTTTTTATTATCTGTCTACAAGCAAAAGAAAAGTGATGCTGTTTAAGCCCTGGGGCCAAGAGGGGCAGGCCCTTTGTCAGCTGAATGTATGTTGCAGTCTAACATCACACACTGTTTGTGACTACAGATGGATACCCTCAAGATGAGATGGTGTACAAGTGGAGGAAGAATTCTGTAGAAGCTGCAGATCAAAAGTCATGGAGACTTTACCAGTTTGATTTTATGGGCTTACGAAATACCACAGACATAATGAAAACTTCTGCAGGTAAGGAAAGGGTAGTAGCATTATCATGATAATTTTTTTATGAAAACATGTGTAACACTTTGCTTGAGGGGGTACAAGTAACTTAGTCACTACTTAAGTACAAATCATGAACAAATATAGTAACTACATGAAATACATCATGATTGAGTAATGAACATGGGATCAGTATGTAACTAGCACTTAGTTTCTGGTTAATTAATACATTAAGTAAGTGTACTACTACGTTATTTGTGCCCCCTCAAGTAAAGTGTTACCAGAACATCGTGTCCCTGTTTGATGGTGATGTATTTATGCAATTTTATCTGTTGCAAGAAAGCTAAAATTGTCTGGCAGCATAAAATCCATGCACCCAATTTCCTAAGCAAAAGAACATTTACAACCACTTATCCAGAACAGGGTCGGTCCATCCATGTTCTAACCTTTAATCCTGATGGGGGTCACAGGGGGCCTGGAGTCTATCCCAAGCAGCATAGGGCACAAGGCTGGGCTACCCCATGGTCAGGATGCCAGGCCAACGCAGGGTTCTCACATTATCATACTTCGTGGGCACTTTAGAGACCCTAAAAATGGAGCCTAACTGCATGTCTTTGAGGAAAGTTGACTAGCTGAAGGAAAAAAACGCTATATGAGGAAACTCTCCACACATAGAGCAGAGGTAGGACTTGAACTTGAGTCAAATGAATGAGACTTGCATATTGAACAGTCACAGGTCGGGAGAATTTGATTACTTGGCTGAATGTAAAGGATGTGTCTCAGTTCTTGTACTCCTCCGTGTGAATAGTAGTGTCCATATAATTTATGACATCCCTCTTCACAGCGTGAGTCCTTCTGGTCTGACTTTTCCATCGGATATCAAGGGCATGTGGTTAGGGGAGCACACTGGAGTCTGAGCAGTGGTTATGTGTGTCCATAGGAAAGCAAGACTTTCTCACGTAGGTCCTGCTGTTAAATGGAAAACTGGAGATTGTACAGCTCTATGCTCCGACAGGGAGACAGCAGGATAAGGGCACTGGAGGATCTCCCTCTGACCAATCGGCGTACACTACCATTCAGGAATGCATGGTGCTGCCACAAAAAGCAAAGGAGGAAAACAAGTAATTAGATTTGCATAGGAGTTCCTGAATCTTCTGTTAATGAAAGATTGATGTGTCTACTCTTAATTTTAAACATTGTATAATGTTGATATTGAACAAGTCTGTTCTTTGTGAATAACACAATAATTACCAGACCATTACATGTGCTACCTGGATGTACATAATTGGTCAAAATATAGAAAATCAATTGAATGTAATAGCAGGGTAGAGATGTACTGGTGTGACTGGTATTTAAAGTTGCTCAGCTCTTTGTTCAGTTCAGTCTTCACCTACATTTACTTTTCATCTGAATGGACTTACTTTTGCCTTAAGCGCAAAGAGTCTCAGATCAGTCTAAAGCTCTAAAATGACTTTCCGTCCATGTGATGCATATAATGTCTGTTACCATCCTTGTGTCAGCATTGAAACTTATTGAGTGCAAGTGCATTCTTTTGATCTATATGTTCTTTCCTGGGGTGTAATATTATAAGATGTTGTATATACTTTATTCTGTGAATACTTAAAATGTATCGTTCACTGCATCTTAATAATCTTAAGTGATTTAAGTAAAAAAAAAGATTGACTGCTGATACAGGTTTTCTAAGACTCAAAAAAAACCTTGCGCACTTTGAATTGACATATCCAATAGGTTCTTTGAACGGTATGCATAAATAATGTTTTCTTAATTGTCTGTTTGTTTATTGTGAAGTACTTAAGTAGATACCTAAAGTTTCCTTTGCATTAATTTAGTTATACCTGCATTAAACAGACACAGGTCGCCACTACAAACATATTGAAATGCGTGGTGGATGTTTTCTTTGTTATTGTATTGTGAAATACCTTATCGTGTATTAATGCACCATTCAAAGTAAGGTTGTCCCAGTTCACTCTGCCAGATCCTTATCTAAGTCGATTAACCATAATTTTGGCTACAAGTCAAATTAAGATCCACTTTAGCTTTAGTTTAATAAATAAGTTAGCTCAGATAATAAGTCATGCTAAATATCTGTATCACGAAGGCACAAAACTCGTAAGCTAAGATCCCAATAGCGGATGTTACACAAACCAAACCAATAATCAACCCAGAAGGAGGGTGAAGAGAATTGGTGAAAATCCAGAATCATAAAAAATATGAATAAAGCAAAGATTAATATGGAATCTAATCAGAAATGGAGATGACCACAATTTGGTTAAAGTTACAAGGGTGTAAGTAGGCAGGCTGGTATTATGGCACAAGTGAAAACAGGTAAATGGATGAGACTAATCAGTATGCAGTGAGATTGAAGTCTGGTAGGGTATTATTGTCTGCAGTGTGGAAATCTTTTAAAGTGCAAAATGAAAACAGCCCAATAGCCTCCAGTAGTATTTGCAATGCCATTGCAAGGTGGTATCAGCCCTGTGTTCACGCAGGTCAAGCAAGTGAATACACTGAAATATAAAACACTAGACGATACTTTCAAAAGACAAGAAAACTTTCTTGAGATTTCATTGGCAAGGAATTACAGAGAGGATGGCGGAATTAATTACATTATATGACCGCACTCAGCGTTAGAGAATGCAGGCTTCTGCCGACTTATATGAACATTTTCACTTCAAGTATTTTTGTTTGTTTTTGTGAATGTTGAAGTTGCTGCTTGTATCACATCTAAGTGGAATTATAATTTATCTGATGCCCCTTGGGGAGTCTGCTCAGTGTTTCTATTTATGAGGTTTTTTTTTTAAAATAGTTTGTTTACTGTGGTATTTCGTAAAATATATCGTTAAAGGAAAAATGTGGTGCAGGGTATTTTCTTTATGCATAATTGCAATCTTCCAGCAAATCCTAAGTAATTTGGAGTGGTGCTGCTAATGTTAATGCATTTGAAGTCTGTACTGGTAGTTGTTTCACAAAAATGAAATATATCGTATATTGAATGGAAGCAAAAAATCAAGACAACACTCACTAATTGCGAACTTTCAAAGCGTTTGCAGTAAAACAAACGGTGTCATAAGGAGAAAGGTCGTGTTACCGTAATGGAACAGAGAGCAAGTGATTTATTTAGCTCATAAAAAGTATATTGAAATGAAAATCTATGGAAAAATTCAGCAAATTGTGTGAAATATATATAATACCTTAACACACCATATAATAAAAAATGTTTTGTTCACTTAATAAGGATTTTTGCTGTATTCCCAGTTTCACCCTGTTATCTGCTAACAACTACTCCAGTCAGTCTCACCCATAGGGACTATAGCCCAGCCTGATACACCATTATAAAAGGCAAGTTACTGTAAACACACAGTAAACTTAATCTAAAAGCTGTATCAAACACATAACTAACTGGCAATTATTTTCTGTAGTAAGTTTACTGGCAAAATGCAACACTTAATATATATATAAATAAATATATATATATTTTCCCTGTCTCCAGGTGACTACGTGGTGATGACGGTGTACTTTGATTTAAGCAGAAGAATGGGCTACTTCACCATCCAGACCTACATCCCATGCATTCTTACTGTGGTCCTCTCATGGGTCTCCTTCTGGATTAAAAAAGACGCTACACCAGCCAGAACAGCACTGGGTGGGTCTCAAAATAAATGCATCATGGAAAGTTCTTGTGGACACATTCTTGCTTGTACTGATTTGATTAATGAACTGGAGATGAGATAAAACTGAACTTCTTTATCAAGGCGCCAGTGTTTGTGAAGACCAAGCAAACAGCTCATTCAGATTGTCTGATGTGATAAAATGCTTCAGTAGTGTGGCAGTGAGGTCAAACTCTGCTGGAAGATAACAGAAAAGTGAAAAAGTAGCTTCGGGAAAGTCAACGGATTTTTTTTTTTCTCTTCAGGGAATGTCATATCAAAGAGACACTTAAATACTTCACATACACCATGCAAAATATAAAAACTAAAACATGATCTGAAGATTTTAGAGATGCACCAAATGGAATGTGCTCATTCTGACGTTACATGTAATTGTTTTAATTCTTCTTTATATATGACACTGTGTTGTATTAATTCTGTTACCCAGTTAAAAAATCAAAGCAAGCCTGTAAAATTAGCTTTTCTTTATTAGTTGTTTAAATAGTGTGAGATGAGATGAGAAGCATTCCTCTCCATGACAGGGTGAGGAGGTCAGAGATCTGAAAGTAGCTCAGAATAAAGTTGCTCCTTCAGTCTGAGAGGACATGTTTAGAGAAATTTACATGGACACTACCTAGATAGCTGCTAAGGGAGCTGGTCCTGGCAAGTCCCACTGGGCAGAGGGTTAGGGAGACACAGGAAACGCTGGAGACATTGTGTGTCCAAATGGTATGTTAATAGCTCCTTAGCAACAACTCTAAGTTTAGAAAAAAAATGGATCTTAGCGATGGACACAATCAATATTAAAGGTGTTGTGTAGGAAAATAAGTATTGATTTAAAATCAGAGGGAGATTAAAAATATGATATATGTCCAATATTCTTTATGTTGTTAGCAACATTATAATGGAGCTATCAAAATAATAATCAGCGATGCACCTTGCATTTTGTGACAGCAATGAAAACATTGGATGAAAATATATGACTATAAAATGTGAAGAATTCCCCTGTTAGAGCTTAATTGAAATAACGCTCATGACAGAATTGTATGCCTGCATGTCTTCTGTGCACTTTCTTTCAGGCATAACAACAGTGTTGACCATGACCACACTAAGCACGGTGGCTCGGACGTCTTTGCCCCGCGTCTCCTACGTGACTGCTATGGACCTCTTCGTCAGTGTCTGCTTCTTGTTCGTCTTTGCAGCTCTGATGGAGTATGCCGCCTTGAATTATTACTCCTATAGCACACGTAAACCAAGCTGCAGTAAGGCCAAAAGATCGGTAAGATCGCATTCACGGCCTCCCTTATGGTACATACAGCCACGGAAAAAATTAAGAGACCGCAGCACAATTTTTTGTTTCACTCATTTCTCAATTTATGGGTGTGCGTCCGTGAACTTTTTTTTAATTTTTTTTACAAACTTCAGCCTGGTTCTTCCCTGTTTCTCATTAATGAAGGGCTTCTTCCTTGCTTTATGGGACTTCAATCCTGCTTCTGGGAGCCTGATACAAACTATCCTAGCAGTGCACTTCACACCTGCACTTAATGTTTCCTGTTCTGTTTGAAGGTCACTTGATGTCATTCTACAATTCATAAGAAACTGTTGGATAAGTTAACGGTCATCTCTGGCATTAGAATGTCGCTTCCACCCTCTACCTGGCTGGTTTCTGGTCATTCCCAGTGTCTCCTAATTCACTTTGATCATCTGTACTACTGCTCAGCGTAGCCACTGCTAGCGGAACCAGGATTAAACCAGGATTTAGAAATGCAAATTAGTTTAAAAATATAGAGTGGTCTCTTAATGTTTTCCAATGTTAATGAAATCATTGTTCTTTGTTCTACAGCTGACACCTTTAAGTTTCTAAATTTAGATTATAAACAATTACCTATTAGCAAAATCTAACGAGACTATTTACACAAAGAGGTTTAAATAAAGTGTTTAAATGAAGAGTATTTTTAAATACTGAACATGAGCGTATTTTTTACAAAAAACAAGCTCTGCATGTTGCACAAATTCTGTTCATACTGTACATTTCTGGTCTCGTACTTTGTCTATTGTGTATTTCTGTATATAAATGTGTCTTTCTAAATTTATTGTCCTGTCTAGGCATATTGCATATGCTGTGCTGCTAGCTGGTGTGTTTCTAAATGACATGTAGGTGCCCTATGCGCATTGACAAGATTCTGATAAATGTAATCAGCATTGAGCTGGAGTTTCCTATAGGAAAAGTAGATCTCTAAGATACCTTAGTATAAATCCATATAAGGTATGGTAGTAGCATATAATTGACAACCACAACATGTAAGGAGGTGAACATATGGCTATTTTGTATTTTAGTTCATAAGAACTCTTACAGGTTTGCCCTGAAATTGGGTACTTGAAGCAGTCTACATAAGGGTCATACATAATGTCATGCACATTAATGACACATTATTGACGGTTTTTGGAACTGAATGACACATTATGACAATTCATAAGCATCAATAATGTGTCATTAATGTGCATGACATGTGTCATGTCATTCTTATGACGGTTACATGTCACCCTTATGTATACTGCTTCAAGTAAACTGTTGACTGAAATTGTTAGGGAAGCATTTGTTCGGCCAGTTATCTGTGCTTTACAGGAGTACACTCCCAAGAAATGGATAGACCGCATTGCTGCATCAATCATTGCATTTCTGCACCTCTAAATGAAAGCATGGAAAGACATTTTTATAACTTTGGCTATATAGATGAAATAAAGATTCTTCTATACAGTGCATTTATCTTGTATAAAGTACTTCCTACTTTCTGCAATATATTTATGAAGCAAATTGGAAACTGTGCTAGAGAAAAGACCTAAGTCACAAACACAAGTCCACTGAGACCAACAAGATTTTTTCAGTCTGCCCCGCAGAACATGGTCACGATATGATATCACTTGAATCCAGAAGTACTAGAACTGATATATTACCACAATCCCAAGGAGGGTAGCCAGTCATTCATTATTCTGACCAGTGATGTTTTATGGCCAGGACACAGACTGAAAAACTGCATAGTAACTGTTGCAGGAAGCTGCAGACAGAACGCCTCTTAAATTTAGAAAAATAACTGCTGTCAGGAATAGGCTTGTAATCATATGCCTTTAGCATATGTTTCTGGAGGATAAATTATACATTTATAATAACTAATAATTTATTTGAAGAACACAAAAATAAAGTTGGGTTTGAGATCAGTGGAAATTCTGTCCTTCTCTGATGAGACACCAGGAGCATATTGTGCATTTAACACACGGCATTGTGAGGCAAACATGAATTAATCTGACCACGTGTCCCCCAGGCTTTGATGTGGAAAGACTCACATTTGGGGACGTTTTCGACAGATATTGTCTTATAGCTTTGAGTAACAGCATCAGCAAGTACATATGCATATATGAGGACAACTTACTGTACAAGGAGCAAGTTGAGGGAGGCGTAAAGACAATTTCTCCATGGGGACTAATACAGGGAGATTATTATTATTATTTTTATTATTATTATAGAACCTATATACTGATGTTCTGATGAACCCATCGTATACTGAAAATATCGTAAGTCAAATATGAATTCATAGGTATAACGGGCTTGGGAAAATTTGTTAAACAAAAAAATGCAATTGTTAAACACCACATGAGGTCACAATGACTTCAGAGGCTGGAAACATGGCTGGGTGGTTGCTGCTGTCACCCAGGAACAGTATAAAGCATTGTACTGAGCATTGCTAGCCCAGGAACAGTATAAAGCATTGTACTGAGCATCGCTAGCCCAGGAACAGTATAAAGCATTGTACTGAGCATCGCTAGCCCAGGAACAGTATAAAGCATTGTACTGAGCATCGCTAGCCCAGGAACAGTATAAAGCATTGTACTGAGTATCGCTAGCCCAGGAACAGTATAAAGCATTGTACCGAGTATCGCTTGCACAGGAACAGTATAAAGCATTGTACTAAGCATCACTAGCCCAGTAACAGAGCGAGTTTCATAGTCTGATGACTACTGACTGCGTATCGCTATCGCATCATCGTAAAATTGAAATATGAGGTGGAGTGCAGCCGTTTGCCAGAAGTGAGACTGAAATATAGCGTGGCTGGGTTGGAAGGGATCAGCCATGATCTTCTTATGGCCCAAGACTCGCACAGCATCTGCAGGGTAGGCAGGCTGCAGCTGATGTTCTTCTCAGCAGGTCAGACTAGACTTCACTTAGTGTACAGATTACATTCTTGACAGCTCAGCTATGCAAAAATGCTCAGCTGTGCCTGTTCATAACAGCCTACTAACTGAGCATTCTTTCTTCTGTTCTACCTTGCAGAACTATTCAGTGCTTGACATGGGACCTCCCCCAACTCTCATCACCCTAAACAATTCCTTGTACTGGCAGGAGTTTGAGGAAGCCTGTGTCTATGACTGCTTGGATGGAAAAGACTGTCAGAGCTTCTTCTGCTGCTTTGAGGAGTGTAAAGAAGGATCATGGAGGAAAGGACGGCTTCATATAGATATCCTAGAACTAGATGCCTACTCCCGTATCTTCTTTCCTACATCATTTCTGTTGTTCAACGTCGTCTACTGGGTTGGCTACCTCTATCTTTAGCTGTCTCCTGTTATGAAGAGGAGTTGGATGCGCCCAGTTTTACAGAGGAATGACAGAAAGACAGAAAAAAAAAATCTTGTGCACAAGCAACAAAAACAGCTCACTGCGTTCACCACAAGAATGCCAATAACGATAGCTATAAAAAGGTTTGATATGAAAAAGGCAACCTAATTCTCGAATTTCTTCAAAAGTTATAGAGAAACTTGGGAATTGCTAACTTGGTCAGGATGGTAATCAGTGGGCTGTTTTATTCTGATGTTTCCCAACTGGAGTTTCTTCCTTGGACTTCAGGTACCAGAAATAAAAACACACGCAAACATCCGAAGTTCCTGGTTCCTATTGATGATTACGAGAATATGTAATAATAACGTTAGAACATAATAACTTTTTTTTTTTTTAAATGAACTTTACAAGTGCATTCTGTATGTTCCCAACGGAAAATGAAAACCACACAAAACCCCTGTAGTCATCTCTGACTGGTCTGTTTCCAGCTCCAAGGTAGACCACATCGTCCACAGTGCCTTCGTCTGGAGTGGCAGTCATCTGCTCACGCAGAGGCACCAAATCAAAGGCAAGGGTGGGACACTCTTCGGTAGCCCATGCAACTTCACTCTAGATGATTTTATTCCGATGTCTTTGATGACCTGCTGTTTATTGCCACACTCAGCACATGGTATATATTGTGGAGTAGCATGACACCATTAATAGTGCCAAAAGGAGAATTATCTGTTTTTCCGTTTTCACCAAAGCAAACAGAAAATAGCACGACTACTGACCCTGGCACAAAGCTACAATTAACGATAATTGATATCGATATAAATTCATATATACACATTTTATTTACAGAATTATTTTAATTCCATTACATTAAGTAAACACGAAATGTGCAGACATACACATAATAACATCGTATCTTACTAGGAGATCCATCAGAATGAGGCTCCAGAATCTAATCATTTGTCAAGTAAATTATAGAAATTTGAGATATTGTCAGGGCTGGACCAGTCATCTGGCATACCAGGATTTATTTATTGTGGGACCCCCCCCGTCCACCCCAGCAAAATTACTGTGGGCTGAAGGGAACCCCAAACTCATGAACGAATTTCCAGTCCAGCCCATATGCTGGTCACAGTTTATTTAGTGTGTGTATCAGCCTAGTTCATCTTAAACATGGGTGGTGCTTGTTTGTGCATTTTTATATTTTCAAAATAATTTGTCCTTCTTTCTCTATTTCTATCTGCCAGTTTCATCAGGAATTGCATGACTTTGTGCCTGTTCATATGGTGTCCAGCAAGTTTCATTGACTGTGGAGAATTTTGATCCAGTTCAGCACATTCTGATTCAGTACAATTCAGTTATAATATATTTCATTACAATTAAATTTGCTTACTTATATTTCATTAGTTGAATTCAGCATCCTTGAATTTACTTTATATTTAAATTCACTAAAGCCCACTTTACATTTTTGGTGTACTGTACAATCCAATTCATTCCATTCCCTTTTTACCTTGTCTATGTGCCCAGAGTAATTTAGAGTTAGTTTTTATCTGTATTAAATTCAGATTTGAGTGGCAGATTTTTTCATGTTTTGGTGTATGTATAATTCTGAGGTCATTGCTAAGCAGTCATGTTAGACTGTTTCTTTTTTGTTTTTTTTTTGAGTGGTACATTCTATTCCCACATAACCTGTCCTGTTTCTTTATTCTCCTATTCTTATACTTTTGATTACATTGGTATAGGAAGTGCCCAGAGATATATAATGTCTGTATCACCTGCTCAGTCTTTTAATAAGGCATCCTGCCTACCCCAAGCACACCCTCCACCTCAGTAAACAAACAAACTGAGCTTATAATCACCTGATATAAAACATTGATTTGTGGTTACTGTTGACACACAGTCAGTGTATGTTTTCTATATCAAACAAAATTAACAGAGTATAAAAAAATCTGGTCCAGAACTGATAATAAAAATGATAATATTTCAAAAATTATTATAAATAAGTTCAAAGAATTATTACTCGCTCTATCAAATAATTTTACTCTGAAAGAACACTCCAAATACTGAGACTGCATGTGATGTTACGAAAAGTCTAAGTGATCAAGAGTCATTCAGAACAAAAGGCTACCTGGAGTTAGTTTAATGGAATACAGATTTGCTATTTAAATACCAGGCACTACATTTCAGTGTTTTGAATCCTTATGAAGTCTGCAGAAGCATATTCAATATAAAAATATTAAATAAAGCACATATTATCTATTGATATTCAAAAGGAAGTGTTTTAAAACACAAGCAATGAAGCCAAAGAAATAATGAAGGTCACACTGACATATAAAGTAGTAACCAATTCAAAAACAAACAGACATTAAGACAATAAAACATTTTTACTGTTTTAAATAGCCTGTGTTTGTCATTATTCAGATTGACTTTGTGTTAACAATTCTGTGACTAAGCTGTAATTTTAGAAGTTTTCATAAACATGAGAGTGATTAGAGGTGTCGTTTGAATAGTTTTGTGTTGGTGGCCTGTTTTTCTCGACTGTATGAGTTTAAAATTTCAAATTTGCTGTTTGTATTCTGGCTGTTAGTTGTTAAATTAAGTGTATTTTACCCTGAAAAACAATACTGAATTTAGACAGTTACAAGTCAAACTATAAAAGCACATTCATATGGGGGACATCACACACTCATCGAGCATTACTGTTTGTTTACTGCCCCCTATGTACTCTCAGATGCCTCAACCTTCAAAAGGAAATAAATTACTTTTATTACATTACATGCATTTCTTACAACTTGGATGCAATTACAATTCAGTGGATATTTCCCAGACCACCCCTGCCTTAAAGAAACATTGTTAAGCATACAACAACAAACTATGAACTCATCAATTGTGTGTCACTGATATTTGGAAGATTCTGCCTTTGACATGCATTTGCATGTTTTGACATTGTAAGCATAAGAATCTGAAGGAATGAAGAATTTATCTGAGAGATATTGTGTTGTTCTCTAAGTATAATTACATCACTTATGGTTCTGCGTTGCATACAAGAAATATTTATGTATTGAGACTTGTACCGTCCACCATCATTTTCCATGCAATTTGCATATGTTATTTTTATATTGAAAATGTACTTTATAAGGTTAATAACAAAAAAAAACTTTGTTAAAAGTTGTTCTTTCTGTATTAGTCAAATGTATTTACAAGGAACAAACACTATTTTATACATAGATACTGTGATGTCAGTTTGGTTATAATTACAAAATAAATGTTTTTACATAAGCCTTTAGATTTGCTGAATCATGAAAATGTTGGTGAATTCAATATTGAATTCAAGATATTTTTCCCTACGTTTTAATATATTATGTGTTCTACATTTCGCCTAATTCTGCTCTAGCCATGTGTATAACAATTCAGCAAAATTACGAACTATCTGAAAGTCTCTCCTCTCAGCTAGTAAAGTAATCCACGCCACTATGAAGACAGTAGAAAACTTATCAGAAAAGTGATAGTGGCATTATATATAAAAGTAGCCATGTTGACAAATCACTGTAAATATATTTTCCCACTTTTGCAATATGAGGTTCAATACAGACCAACATCTGCTCTGTTTTCCAACTGAGTGAAACTGAGTGAAACTTTTGTGTTATATTGATTGGTGGGGAAAAAATATGAAATTAAACACATCAACAGCAGAACTTTTTTAATCAGAGAATTCCGAGGCTCCTGTTGAGTGGAATATTCAAATTATTTTTTTGTACTGAAAGGAACAATTTATTATCAAAGAATTAAAAATGGCCCCAAGGCCTCTTTAAATCAGGAGAACAAGGTACATGCAAATGTATTAAAATTAAATTAGACAACAACCCAACCTGCTCAACAGCAGGTGCACAATGGAAGCCCCCATGCTTCTCTCCAGCTTCCACCTAGTTGGCCACATTTTTCCTTAGAAGACCAATTACTCAAATCAGGACCAGCTGGTCTTGATTACTCAAAATATATCAGTTGGCAAGGAGATAGTTATCAGAGGCCATAACAATGTTAAATCACCAGCGTCCATGTGGTCCCAAGCTGTTACTCCGCCTACTTCCAGCTCCAAATAATATTTCCCTGCCTAAGTTTTTAGTGTGTCTAAGGTGAAGCACTGCATATGGAATTGTAGTGCCCAGGATATATTTGTAAGGATCCTTAAAATTGAATCACGTTAAATATAAATAAAATGTCACAAAGTCGTTTTTTTTTATTAATTGACATTGTGACTATAGAGTGAAACATGTGTGAATCATTAAGTGAGACATTACAGAGCCTAAAAAACGGAGCAGTTATCATTTGAGATGTGATTTAGTTGGGATCTCGTCTGGCCATGTTTATGAGGTAGCCGTGTCTATCTCCTTCTCCACATAATGAACGCTGATTATTTATTCATCTGACATATAAGCCCTGAAAAAGAAATTCCTTCCACACACCAAAATTTCAAACAAGAAATACTCCAGCTGTGAGCATTAATATATGGTGCTCTGTTCACATTCAGTTGTAATGTACATTTTTCAGTGCTATTAAAGAATTCCTGTGCTTCTGAATGATAATCCCACTATAGCCTAAATCAGCTCCGGTCCTAGAGGACCCACAGGCGGTCCAAGTCTTTGCCCTCTCCCAGCTCCCGATAAGGAGCAAAAATGTGGACTCTGGGGCAGGGAGCTGGGAGGGAACAAAAATGGAGACCGTCTGTGAGTTCCCGAGGATCAGTTTGGGAGACACTGATCTAAAGAATAAAAGCTTTGGAAAATAATATGAATTTTGTTTTCCTTCCAGCGAAAAACAAATCAAAGAGACGAGCCAAGAAAATCAACACTCCTTGTCGTAATTCTACATTTCTGGATGTTTTACATGGAAATATCATTAATAGAATGTAAATAATATAATCCATCCAATAATATTATGAAATATCAGATGCACTGAAAAAACTGGTTTATGTGTCACCTGTCACGCCCCGCTCCGTCTGCTCCTGATGTGTGCCACGCCCACCTCGTTACCTCGTGTTCATCCCTGATTGTTCTCACCTGTTGCCTGTTCCGTTTGCCTAGTCTTTTGTATTTAGTCCGAGTCTCAGTCAGTCTTCTTCAGATCCGTTATTGTATTGTCATGTTCGATGTTTGTGCCAGTCTGCCCCGGAATAAATTCCCTTTGTACGTATTCCCGGCTCCACTCGCCTGCTTCCCGGATCGCTTGCCCCGCAAATCGTGACATAACCCAGACTTACCATACTGGTCGGGTCCATGCAGCATGCCCAATGACTCCATTATTAAAACTACATCTAATATTTTTCATAGTAATTGAATTCAGGGCCGTATACAGTATATTGGTAACCTGAAGTATGTGCATGGCAGATTGCTTTGGAAACAATGCGCAAGATCTATGGAAGTTCAGCTGTGTAACATCACAAAACACTTTAACACTTTTAACATCACAAAACACTTTCACATTTTTTAGGACTGGGGTTCAAATTAGTTTCCATAGATTTAAAGAAGACTATGGAGAAGTAACAGTTGTTACAAATATCTACTACTGAATAATAAATGTATGAATGAAAGTAAAAATAATATTTCTCATATTTCCTGTATCTTCTTCCAGCTCCAGTCTTCTGTATCATGTTAATAAAGGAAGTGATATAACAGATATATTGTCATATGTTAGATATGACTGAATCAGCCCTCAGCAAGATTAAGCAGAGATACATGTACAGTATACTTACACACCGCATAGGTAATTGATCTTACTAGGAGATCCATCAGAATGAGGTAATTGACAGATATTTTAAAGCAGGGCTATTCAATTCAGGCCCTCGATTCCAAATCCAGGCCTTGTTTTCAGTTCTCCCAGGTAGTTAGTTTAATAATCACTGAATCTGATTGGTCAGAGGCTTCACACATGGCTCACAGGTGAAGGAAGGCTGGGAAATCAGCAGGGCTTGGCCCTTGAGGACCGTGAGTTGAATAGCCCTGTTTTACAGTAACTATTAAATATAATAATGCAATACATCATTTTCATATGCTTCAATTAACCAAAGCAACCCTAGTATGGATGAGTATGGCCAGCGAGATAAAGTCTGTCAAGGGAAAGAGGGTTAAAATAAACATACTATAATAAATAAACAATGAATCATATTTAGATTACTTGTGAAAAATATGTAATAGAACATCAATTTGAATGATAGAAACAATATAATAATAATAATAATAATAATATCCATTGCATTAAACTAGTATCACGGATATTTTTTGTATCTGCTATTCTCTGTGACACGATCGGTTATAAAATGATATTCTTCAGCCTAAACGATATATATTTGCTTGCCGATTGCTAAATGAAATCTAACCCTAACCCTAATGTTCCGTTTAGATTTCTCTGGTAAACAGCTCTTTCACACTAAGAAATGCACTTCTTTCAAACAGCTTCCTCCTCTTTGTTCTACAGATAAATGTACAATGCATTTCCACCAGTGGCCTTCTCTCCATTATATGACCTTGTCTTCACCTTTTTCTATGAGGACCCCATCTTGCTGAAGCAGCTGCACACTTTCTCTGATTGGTTAAACGATAGAACCTGGGAAGTGTTGTGTGATTTTGCAGATGTATGGTTGCGCTGTGCTGCCTTCAATCTTGTGGGTTATCGCACGGTCTGCATGTCAGCTCTATCATCAGCCTTCTGCAAACTATAGTCTCCAGCACTCCATCACCTAGCAGCTCTGCCAGGATCTACTATATCCATGATCTGCTCCAAGTACCGGCCATGTGGAGAGGAGACGGAAATTCGAGTGCATTACGGATGCTCAAATGCGTTTAACAAAAGCTTAGACAAAAATAAATCAGTGGCATGTTCATGTTGTTCCTAATGCGTATTTAGATTTCTCTGGTAAACAGCTCTTTCACACTAAGAAATGCACTTCTTTCAAACAGTTTCCTCGTCTTTAAGCTGCAGGTAAAGGTGACTGATGGGCCTCCATCAGTCCTTCATTACATTACCTCATCTTCTGCTCCAGCAGCCTAGATTACGGTAGATAGGTCTTCGATTCAAATAGTGAGACCGAAGAGGCTCCCATCATATGTGTTAGCAGACACTTCTATAGACCCTGTGTCCTGTGACGCAGACTGAAGGATTTACCACCAACACTTTTTATTTATGTGTGGAATTGCACGAAGGCCCACATTCCGCATTTGGAATAATCATTTCGGTTACATTAGCGGGGAGCTGACCTGTTACTGCCATGTACGAAAGCAGAAGAATTCTAATGTCTATTTTGTGCTTAACTGGAAGCCAGTGGAAACACAAGGTGTATGCATTGCTGCAAGCAGTGGTTCTGGAAGGAGTTTGACTTTGGGGGACACCAGCCCAGCGGTCAA